GTACGTGTGTACAGGGTCTCTCGCTATATAGCCCTGGCTGTCCTGGAACTTGCTATGTAGACCAGGTTGGCCTTGAACTCACAGATTTCCCTGTCTCTGCCTTCTGAGTGCTGGGATTAAAGGCGTGTGTCACCATGCCCAGCTCCTCCCTCCACTTACTTTGAAACAAACCAACAGCCAAACAGAACTCCCATAATAAGCCAAACTACTGACTATACTATGGTGATATTTTATTTGTGCTGAAATGTGATTTTATTTGTATGTTAATAAATAAAGTTGCCTGGGGATCAGAGTTAAGAACAAGCCATTAAGCAGAAGTCTGGTAGTGGTAGCACACACCCTTAATCCGATCACATGGCAGGCAAAGTCTGGTGTTCAAGGATATAGCCAGCATGGTGACACATGCCTTTAATCCCAGTACCACATAGAGACCTGGAGGTCTGCATAGACAGGCAGTGACGAGGAAGTCATGTGGTTGGGTTTAGAGCCAATGAGGAAGGCAGAACATACTATACAACTTGCTAGACAAATCAACCTCATCACTCAGCTGCATCAGCTGTCATGATGAGACTGCCTTGTAGGAAATGTATACTATGTATGATACATTGCTGAGTTTGGACAAAAGAATAAATCAGTTAGCTATCCTGTCATGGCTAATTTTTATGTTGACTTGACCCAAGCTAGTCATCTGAGAGAAGGAAACCTCAATTGAGAAAATGCGTCCATAAAATTTAGCTGTACAAGCCGAGCATGGTGGTGCACACCTTTACTCCCAGCACTGGGGAGGCAAGAGGCAGGCGGATCTCTGAGTTTGAGGCCAGCCTGGTCTACAGAGTGAGTTCTAGGAGAGCCAGGGCTACACAGAGAAACCCTGTCTCGAAAAACCAAAAGGAAAAAAACAAAACAAAACAAAAACCCAAGCCAGCTGAAGCAAGCCTGTAGGGTATTTTTTAGTGACTTGATGTGGGATGGATGGTACAGTCAATTGTGAGTGGGGCCACCCCTGGGTTGGTGGCCCTGGGTTCTATAAGAAAGCAGGCTGAGCAAGGCATGTGAGCAGTATTCCTCCACGGCCTCTGCATCAGCTCCTGCCTCCAGGTTCCTGCCCTGTTTGAATTCCCGCCTTGGCTTCTTCCTTCAGTGGATTGTGATTCAGGATATGTAAACCAAATAAACCCTTTCCTCCCCAACCTACTTTTGGTCATGGTGTTCTATCACATCAACAGAAACCTTAAGACCTATCCCAATAAGTAAGTTCATATGAATGAAGTGTTGACTGTACTTGACCTCAGCTGAGACCGTGACAAACCAGTCTTGCCTCAGCTGCTTCATTTATTATACATCTACTAATACCATGTGATGCTCAGCGTATTAGCTACTTTTCGCACCTCTGTGACTAAAATATCTGACAGAAAGGAAAGGGTTTTTGCTCCTGGTTTCAGGAGGATTTCAGTCTATCATGCTAGGGAAGGCATGGCATAAGACATGTGGCAGAGTGGCTCTTTACATAATGGCTGAGCAGGAACAAGAGATTGTGGCCAGATCTTGAAAGCAGTCTTGAAAGGCCTTAGTGACCTACCTCCACTAGCCCTGCCCCACAGCCTTGAAAATGGTTCTACAAGCTAGGGACCAAGCATCAAAACACAAGGCTAAGGTCCATGTCAAAAGCCCAACATGTGTCCTCTAGTTATGAAGCCCCTAATGCTCCCATGGAGCCCTTCTGATATGTTCCTCTGTCTCTCCTCTTCCATAGGAGACCCCCTCCTTCATGGTGCCCCTCTTAGCATTGGAGTGGTCCCCTTTGAGCATGTGGCCATAAACTGGACACAGTACCAAGTTGGGTCAATGGGTACGGTTCCCTACAACCACTTGAAGTCAGCCCTCACAGAGGCCACAAATGGGGCTGGGAATTGTAGTTCAGTGGGTAGAGTGCCAGTTTAGCACAAACAAAAGCCCTAAATTTGATTCTCTAGTATTTTCTAAACTGGGGCAGTGACATATAGGCCTGTTCTCTTCCTGCTACAAAGGTATAGGCAAGAAATCAAGAGCTCAAGGTCATTCTGGCCTCAGGCAGCTCCCATCCCACCTGGGCTACAACCGCAGTAGAAAGAGCAAAGGCACCGACAGAGGAGATGGACTCAGGCTTGGCTGCAGCCGTCTCCAGCAGCTAGACTCAAACCCACTCCCATGGTACTTTAACTTCTATTGTACTGGTGGCCTTTGTTTTCTCCGTTTTTTTGCCCCCAGAATTCTAGTTACAGACCTGTTTAGTCTTGCTTTTCACTTCCTATTTAGTGTGGCTGGGATGCATATCCCCCAACATTCACACACTAGAACTGAAAACCCAATGATGGTGTGAAGAGGTAGTGATACAGGGCAGTGGCTGAATACAGAGAGCCTCTTCCCTTCTACCTAAGGACACAGGGAGTGCCATCATGGTCTAGTTAAAGGCTTCTAGTTCTTCTGATGCTGGCTGGATCCCTGAGAAGCTGCTGCAGAGCAGAAAAGCCCTGGCTGACGGAGTTCGGGCATGGCCTGCCAACCTTACCCATGTTGGGTACCACGGACAGGATCTAAGCTTCCAATGGCCTTTGACCAACTGCCTTTAGCATTCAAGTTAGGAAAGCCAGTGCTTTGAGTCTTTAGCTTTCACGCTTTCCCTTCAAACAGTGACACTGCCTCTCCCTGACCTTGCATCCCTCCTAGCCAATCATATTTTAGTAATCTTGTCTTTATTAAAAAGGTTTTACTGACATAGAATGTTCTTAATTCAAAACCCACCTATTTTTGCCAGGCGGTAGTGGTGCATGCCTTTAATCCCAGCACTTGGGAGGCAGGGGCAGACGGATCTCTGTGAGTTTGAGGCCAGCCTGGTCTACAGAGTGAGTTCCAGGACAGGCTCCAAAGCTATACAGAGAAACCCTGTCTCGATAAACACACACACACACACACACACACACCATCCATTTTTAAGTACACAATTCAGTGAATCCTATGAGTTTGAGTGTGTACTATCATCAGTACTAAGAGACTGCAGTGCCTGTGGAAACCACTGGACCATGGTCCTCTCTGACCTTAGCTTGGTCTCTCTTGATTGTACTGGAACCCCTGCTATTACTGGAGCTTCCTTGACTATCCCCACATTAACCTAGAGACGTGGGTGTACCCATGCTGTTTCTTGTCTGGAAGCATCAAACTATGCAGAAGCTACAGGTTCCAATGAGAATGTGGCTTATGCTCCTCTCAGAGGACATGTGGGCTGAACTGTGGCAAAGCAGAGCCTGGGCTGTACCTAAGACCACCAATCCTAAGGGTTCCAAAGAACTTTGGTGGCAGGTACTGCTGTCTCTCCAGGCCAGAGCAACAGGACCATTACAGCCCAGCCATTCTTTCTATGGGGCTGGTTGCTCAGTAGGCATCTCAGTAGCTAGCGGCTAGAGAAGGAGCCAAATGGTGCCTAGAGAATTTATGCTTTGCCTAATACTGAGTGCTATGTTTCCAAGCAATACTCAGGAGGAGGGCCACTGATATTTTCATAGATGTGGGTCTGTTACCCAAGCCTTAGAAATTCAAAGAGAAAAAGTAAGAATACTCCATCGACTGTGTCTCACAATCATGTTACTTTAAATTTATTTTTCAAGCCATATAATCCCACTTAAATTCCACCCTAGGAAGGAAGAGAAAAGTAGAGTTCTGTGAATTCAAGGCCAGCCTGGTCTACATAGTGAGTTCCAGGCCAGTTAGAGCTACATATCAAGACGCTGTCTCAAAAACAAAAAAACAAAAAAAACAAAACTTTTTCATTTAAGATGAGAACTATGTGTCCAACTCAGAAGTCTTCCATAAACTCCAGCATTTCAAATACCAGCTACTTATGATTTTTAGCTAGAAGCATTATAGTTTATTTTGAATTTTGAGTTCATGTTCAAATCATACTCTGGTTAAAGTATTCCTATAAAGCAGGAACCATTTGAACAGAAAATGTTGGTGCTTGAGTTTTGTTTTTTGTTTGAGCAGGGTCTTACTACACAACCAGGCTGGTCTAGAACTATCTTCCTGCCTCCCTTCCCCAAGTACTGGGATTACAGGTGTGTGCCACCATGCCCAGCTTCACCGACCCTTTTTTTGTTTTGGTTTGGTTTTTTTGGTTTTTTTCGAGACAAGGTTTCTCTGTGTAGTTTTGGTGCCTGTCCTGGATCTCCTCACTCTGTAGACCAGGCTGGCCTCGAACTCACAACAATCTGTCTGGCTCTGCCTCCTGAGTGCTGGGATTAAAGGTGTGCACCACCACTGCCCAGCTCACTGACTCATAAATTTGATCTTACCTCAGCAAAAAATAGAAGCAGCGCCTTCTCCACATGAAGTAAAAAGGAGAAATGAACACAAATGCTGTATACCTTAAGGGAAAACAAAACATCTCATCCAATTAAAGGAGAGACGACAATAAGGGTGTCTTCAGCCCAAGACATTTTCCATAGCAGGACAGCCAGACTTCACATCTCATGGGACCTTGTGCTCCCAGCCCTGCAAAGGTCTCTCCAGTCCTCCCTAAGAGCAGTGTGGTTAGTCTGCAGGAAAATGTCCACTAGTCAAGGCAATGGTCATTGTTACCTACTATTTTGTTTCTGTGGTGGTTTGAATGAGAATGTCTCCCATATGCTCATATGTTTGAATGC